CAGTTTACAATTGTTTACGAAGTCATATGTATTCTTTCTATAAAGAATGCAAATGCATAATTATTCACATTTTACACGTTTATTCATAGACATGTTTACAGACAGGTATTCCATTGCACCCTTTCCATTCACAGTAATCCTTTTCTTTTTCAACGCGCTTCCAAGTCACCTTTTAGCAATTCCTCAGGACTTATAAAAAGAAAATAGGCTAGCCATGAAGTGTAATGTAATACTTTATATTGGAGTATCACTATTCGGTAATAACTCTGACATGAAAACAAATCGTGTTATTTTATTTCAGTTGCAAATACATATATGTAAATTTTACACAATATAATCAGTTTAACTTGACTACCTATTTTTATATTATTACACTTAGCTCGGAATTATAATTAAATGCATTGTTAACAGGTGAACCACTTTTTGATTCTTTCTAATTTACGATAAGAATATTTGGGTCACTGTAGGAAGTATTTCATAAGGGGGCTGTTAGAGAGAAGCATGCAAATACAGTAGCGAAGGGTTGGTCGCTGGAAGCAGTGTAGGATGGGGAGAGAGTAAAAACTGAGTCGGGTCACATCTGTGTGGCGAGTCAGCAGCAACCACCCCTTAATATCCGGACTTCTTTCACTCATTTTTCATTCCATTGAACGGGTGTGGGGCGGGAATGTCGACACCTAATTCGAAGGTTATTGAATCTTTTACGGCCCTCCTCATCCTGACATCAACAACGGAAGGTTCCACGAGCTCTTCATCGTGGTTTGGAAATGCAGTTGTGCGTTATTGGTGAACTACTGAGCAATCAAATGTGCCCCTAATAAAAGATGAGAAAATCCCTCGATCATCATTCCTAATATTACTTTTACAAATTATACGTAACGCTGTGTTGTATGTACGAAATGTTGAGCCCAATTTTCTTATTTTGATTTTTAAATAATTAAATACTATCAATTCAAAGTCTATAAAAATTGTTATCGGATTGCTTTGCCCATTATAAACTGTACATTCCATGTACAAATTGTTTGATTAAACGATACCAGCCAGTAAGCTGATGCAGTAAAAATTCCTAGTCTAGAAACTAACAAAGCAATATATTCTAATCGCACCACGGGTCCAATAACGAACATTAACTACTCTGTATTAAAATGTATGACTGTATTAAACTTGAATTCAAATGTCACAACATACTCCACGTTTCACCCCTCGTTTCCACCCAGCATAATTCATTCGTTGAAAGTCCGCGGAGCTCGAGATACCCCAATAAGATATTACTCTCCCCTCTCGCTTCCACTCCCAAGATACAATCTTAAACTCATTCCCTTCTTTAGATCCAGCTCTAGACTCAAAAGTGGAAACCAGCTAACTCCTTTACTTTCCCTTGCCCCCAACACTGATTTGGTTAAAGCTCCTCCGCGACCACCTACATTTACAACCCTTTTGCCCCTGGTTTCCATGCACGAAACTTTCGCTCTATTATTTAGCCATGTTCAGTAATTGTATGTAGTTAAATTAAAAGTGATTTTTGAATGAATTATCTATATTATGAAAAGACGTACCGACAAAAAGTTACTTCGGTTAAATGAAATAAATAAATTTAAAAGAACTCTTATATGTTAAGAGTGAGCTGCAGTGTTTATACTGATGGCCAAAGTACCACCCATAAATTTTAATATATTTGGGTAAATTAATATTTTGCATAAAAATAGGTTTGGTCGTAAAAATAATACATTTAAAAAGAAAATGTTTATTACCTAATTCTAAAACAAAACACTTTTGCGTTTTTTTGGAAATGATTTTTGATAAAATCCTGAGGAATTCTTGCTCATTCATCAAGGACATTATTATTGTTGTTATTTTCATTGTGCCTTCTTTACAGTCCTGGAGAAAATCGAAACATTTCGTACTTGCCTTATCATATTTCTTATCACATTTCCCGTAATGCTGTAGTTCCGAAAAGCCTGATGGCGGGTAAACTTATATCTCTCTCGTTTATAGTCAGAGTTGACCATGTCCTGGGCTTCCAAGTAAAGCCCATGTTTCTCTGAAGCGCCGAAGAGCACTTCCTATCGTAGAGTAATGTACGTTCAGTCTCCAGGCGACTTCGCGCTTTATGTATCCATTATCTAATAATGTTATAACCCTGACAGACACTCACTCAAATGCCTGACTGGAGCCATTGAAAAAGGTTTAAGAATAAGAATAATCCATTAGGTTTCGTGGTCGTTAGGTGAGTGGTGCGTTAAATTTGCCCATCAGTGTATTTGATTGAAGTATATTGAAGTGTATTGCCGTAGCATGGAACAGACGGTGAGGCTTAAGCCGGGAACATACCCGATGCAACGCTATTTTGATTTGTGATACACGTTGTGTGACTGTACCTGGCGTGCGCTTGACGTTGCATAGATGTGCACACCCTACCAAAACGTGGCAAGGCGTCGGGTAGCGTCGCATAGCGTTCCATCGGGTAAGAGTGTTTCGGCTTTAGGCAGTTTGGTTTGTTTATGTACGGTGTATGTATTGTGTTATAATAACTAATTATTGCTTTGTTTCAAATTGCAAAAAGTACTATAAGTTATTCTAATTAAGTAACTGTACATATTCAATGCGCTAATAATAGTAATAACAGTGATTATTTTTTTGGTAAATACATTTTTATCATATTTTTCAAAACACATTATTTACAAGAAATTAATAGTAGTCTTTCTTGTGTTCAGTCGACCATCTTACGGATTTAGCCTATTTTTGAAGCAAAATGCCACAAATGACATCCAATAAAATACGTTCAACTTGTTTTATGTATGTAACATAAAATGGATTTATAAGAGATTATAAATTAATGTATTTACAGAAATTACTGGCAATTTCACAACCAAAGTGAACCGACACGTACATCCTAGTTTACAATATTTCAATACTTTTTCCAATCTTCACCATTCAAGTATTAAATAAATTTGCTAAAGTTTAATTCGCCTTTGTTGAGGCACAAGAAATTCGAGATTTTTTTTGTTTGCGACACAGCCACAAAACGATTTACCACTGTTTCTTCTGTTCGGTTACATGGCGAGCAAAGTTTGATTTTTTTATTATCATTTATTTAAGTACCATCACTCTCCTTTAACTTTAAATTGCCCACTTATTACATATCTGTTTAAATTACTATATATGAAGTTATTATCCTAAATAAACCGCTTATAAACGGTGAACCTTGAACTATTGTGTACATTTAGTTTATATTCTTCCATTATGTGGTCAGCAAATTTAAAACAAAGGATGTATAAATGTTGTTATTTGAAAAATCTGCTATATTGACAGAAAATTTGTTGCAAACATTTTGTAACTGTGAGTACACAATCATTTAATTAATCCATTGGGTTTGTATCACACACTAAGCTTAGGCATAATATAATTAAAATGGAATATTCATATGCACTAATCTTATCTATAATAGTAAGAAATAATCTTGCTGTAGTTATTAATTGGGACTGAAAAAATTCAATCATAATTTTAAAAAAATGCAATTTGCCGACGCTGTAGGATGTACCAATAAAAGAGAAACGTTGTCGCCATTCGAAAAGCATAATGGCAAGATTTCGTCCTTTGGAAATTGAGAGTGAAAAATATCTATAGAACCCCGTGCCTTAATTCGATACGAAAACTAGCTTTGGAGGTCGGTTTACAACCAACCACAGTAAAACAAAACTGTATCAACGCCACTACGTCGAAACTGTTCAGATTTATCGCTCCCACCCTACAAAGAGTTCTTATCCTCTTTGCAAAAGAATTCTTTTTGCTCCCAATGCCAGTAAAAGCTGCCCTACGAAATTATTCGTTGCTCAGACTTCTTTCAAATAGAGTACATAAATAGAAACAGTAATACATATCACATTTTGTACAATTTGAGCATAATATTTTATATCGATTGGGGAAAAAAAGTAAAATTGTAAATTATTAAAATTATTGAGGGAAATTTTTTAGTTTTATTTGTTTAATGTTATTATTCGGTTGAGTGTATCTAATACGTTTTTTACATTGTTCAGATGTCTTTTTCGTAAAATGTAGTTAATTATTGGAAGGACCATTGATCAAACACTGTAGACTCACTTAAATCTATTTTCCTCCCAAAATTGATTTATTCGAAAAACGACTGTCCTATTTTTGGAATGTATCCTGTCTGGTATTTGTACAAATAATTAAATGTTCGTCAGGCTGTTGGTTGTCTGTCACGTCAATTTCCAAGCAAGGCTGAGGCAATTAAATATATTTCTGAGACGAGTCTTGTTTTCTTGCCGCCAGAGTACACCACTCTCTTTAGAGAAATTTATATATATATATATTATGCAGGGTGGGCGACCAAGACCCGAGGGGTAAAATGCCTGGGTAGACTCGTACCCTAAAAGGTCCGGGACTTGGTCGGCTCACGCGTTCTGCATAAATCTCTTGGACCTGTTCACAAACCCCAAGATTTTGGACCAATTATCTCGGGGAGTGATTTGTTGATGTCCTCTCCTTCAAAGATTTCAAATCTAGACCTAGCATACCTATCACACTCTGCGAGGTGCTTTGCTGTTTCTTCTTTTTTCGCAAAAACGGCAAAAGGGATCTGGTAGAATACCCATTACGCCAGTAGAGAAATGATACTTCTGACCAAATTACTCAACCTGTAGAGCAATTCGGTAATATTCCAACCAGTGCACACAACTTCATAAATCACCGATTTGTAGGACCTAATAAATACGTAAAGCAATTCTCCTCTGTACCATTATATATATAATATATTTCGATCAATATGAAATAATCTGGTTTTAACCTGATACTCATAATAATAAAGATAAAATCTCAATGCAGTGAGAACGATCAAAATATAAACCCCGCATAAATTGCGTCCTATTGCAATGTAATAACAGGAAATGTGGCAAATCCTTAGATAACTGAGCTATTTGGCTTTTGTCCCATCATTGGGATTACCGTAATCGGAGCTGACCCTTTTTCTATGCTTGCAGGTCGTGTCATCTGCATGTACTCAGATGGGCGCTCGCTAGCCACAGAATGATATCAAGGCTCCGATTCGTGTTATTCGCCTTGGCTACGATCGTACCCACCATTACTGGTAAGTCACCCATCATTATTGCGTTTAAGGCATGGTACTGACTTTAGTGCAATTTTTAGCGCAGGTAATATCTAACAAAATTTAATATGCATTTCGAATAACACTACCTTAATGTAACATTTAGTATTTTTAGACTGGTTGTTAATATAATTATCTGAAATTAACTAATTTATTATTGAAAATAGAATTGCATTTGTAATTGCAACTTTTGGAAATCGTAAAAATTAGAAAATGAAGTATGTGTCCTATCTACGCTGGCTCAAGCAAACCTCATTTGAAATTATAGGAGGCATATTAATTGAAGTGTAATTTCAGATAGCATTAAAACCGGATCGGTTTAATCCTTTACGTTTTACTGTACACTGAACTAAATACGGTGTGATAATATTTTTGCGTTTCTGCTAGAAACCACAATTTTCTTTTTGTTGAATGCCGACGTTTAGTCCGGCCAATCTATTTTGTTTTCAAAAACAGAGACAGTTTAAATGGATTTTGTTTTATCATAAGCTCTCTTTTCAAACATTCCTATAATTACTCCATCAAATTCGTTCGATTTTGGTGTGGGAGAAAACTATTTCAAAAAAACGTTACATATTTAAGAAATAAAGTGTTAAATCGGGGGCGGCGGTGGCCGCAACGGTTTAGGCGTTGACACGGCGTTCACTGTAAGGTAAAGGTCCCGGGTTGGAATCCAGCGGCCCTGCATTTGAACCCGACATACTTACAAATGGGCTTTTTTTCAAAAACACCGGCACCCCGAGGGTTCAAATAACCTCGTAGTTGAAAATAAAAAAATAAAAGTGTTAAATCCTGCAAACAACTTTCCCATTGTTTTTTAAGTAAAAAATTATTTTTTGTTTAGTTTTTTACATTTGGTTTATACTATTTATGCCTACTGGAATATTAAACAAATTAATTTAATTAAGTTTTAATTTAAGTTAATAAAAATTTAACGCCCATAACAAACGTGGAAGATGGGCGTGTGACAGAACCTTCAGAAGTTCTAAACAGATCTGGTTACTTTAACACAATGAAGGCGAAAAGTTATTGTAAATAATGTTTTTTTAAGCTTTGTAATTTATCTAAATTAATTTTGAATTCCAAATAAATCGTTTTACGTAAAATTAAATCAAATGCCAAAAGCTACCTTTTAAGTCTTTTATTGCTGCATGGCGGTGTTCGGCCACCGTTAGGTAGTCATGGAAGAGTTCAATCGTTTGTAACAATCCGATACCATATTCGAAACTTTGGGGAGACAGAGATCGTAGTGCGTGATCGAGTTAAGCACGAACCTTGGTATCCGTAATAATTCTTAAAACACGATTTTGTATGGTTTTGACTTGAGTATTAACTGCTGATCCCCAGAGATTGTATGCTTGTTGACAAATCGGCCATACGAGTGGTGACTACAGTGGTCTTTTAAGAGGAAATGGCAATTGACAAAAAAAGTAACAATACTGGATTCGCTGTGATTTATTATTATATTCCATTTATTGCACCATTGGTTCACCGCATCAAAGACATGTTGGAAATGTCATTCTACTTGTCTGGTTTCAGCTGCTTTGCTCAAAGCTTCAACATCATCAGCGAATTGTGCAATCATTAAATTTACTAAAGAATGAAATTCGCTTGTATATTAGTAGGAGGTAAAGAATGACCCAAGAACTGGATGCTCCTAGCATAATTGCCTTGGACGCTGAGAATTCATTTCCACCCCTAAGTGAGTAAGGGTTAACCTGTTTGAAAGGTTTGATTGCCTTGTCATTTCGAAGAAGAGAATCCGAGTATTGGTTATATATTGTCCCCGATCCCCGATCTAGGTGGTAAGGAGATTGCAAGCAAGTCAGTCAACGCACAAGGTCAGTTGTAGGCAATGGGGTTTTTCTCTGCAGGACAGATGTTTTATAAAAGGTAAAATTTATCTGTACGCTTTTCGTTAGATTTATCTTCATTCTCCACTTTATGAACCATATTGTTAATTCATTCAAGTGTTGTTGTGTGTTGAGGGTTAATTGAGGGGTCCGAATTACGTGTAAGAATCGCTCTACCAACATCGGATGTATGTGTTGAAATGTTACCGTGTGTAGAAATATCTGCAGTGTATATTCAAAAAAGAGATGGGGCAAGCATATTTCCCTGAGGTCGCCCTAATGCGTATATAAGGTGACAATTCGGTCAGATAAGATCTCAATATGCAATAGTACGTATAAGAGAGGATGTTCTTCAGTTTCCAAAGTTCACGTTTTTTAAAGTCAAATATTTTACAACTTGCTATTGAAATTTGTGAAATTTAAAAGAAATTTAAAACGTTAGTGTTACACGTATTGGGGTAAATTAAACTTTATTATACCTTTTCTTCATTTTCCCTATTTGTATCACATATTTTACCATATTGTGATATAGGAATAAAAGTATGGCATTAAAAGAATAAAAAACTAACGACCATTTTTATTTTAAAAACAACCGATCTAAGTTTCCAGGAATCCGTCTTCAAACACTGTTAGAAGAAAAAAGCAGTCTGAGCAATATTTGTAAATGCACGAAAAATCCATAAATAAACCTATCCAGGCTTGTGCCTTCCTCTTCAGCATATAGTTAGGAAATTGGTTACATGGTGAGAGGCAGATGAATATTATTGCGAGAATTTCTACTCTCATTTTATATTTTATATTACGTATTGTTCTAAAAATAAACTATATAAATACATTTATGTACATAATTTTCCCTTTTTTAATGTCAAAAAACGCACGCTAGTCATAACGAACGCAGTCTCGCACCTCTATCATTAGATAGCATTGTTGAATAGTATTTCTGGCTTATATGAAAACTATACTAGAACATTTTTGAGGGGACAAAATCGGGCATCAAATCAAAACAATTACAAAGCTATTGCTAGGATAGCTTACATTTATCGGCACAAAAAACGAAGGTTTGAGCGCTAAAGGGAGCACTCTAATATTGGGTATGTTGCTGTGCTATTATATCGTCAAGTGAATATTATTTTTTAGCAAGCAACAGTAATTAACAGATGTTACGTATTGATTAGTGTAACTACAAATGTATTTTTATAGTCCGTCAGTTTCCTGTTTTAAAAGAAGATGGCAAGTTAAGTTGGTGTAAAGGGCAGTTGCTTGTGCTAAATCAATGAACTGCTGACAAGGCAAAGTAGCGGCGGTAAATAATCACATGACGTTTATTACTGCAAATATCGAACGCTGTTGTGCCAGTCAGTCCTCTTCTAGTACTTCACTTCGTTAGAAAAGAAAATAAAAAATTTAAAATTATCAGTGTGTGTACATTGTGTAACAGTAGTTCCAGTTTACCCATATTCATTATACAAAAATTGCAATCTCCGGATTTCAAAAACGCTTTTTAAAATTAATTGTTTAATTTCCAACTGCACTTGAAATATGCAACAAGCAAAAATATTGTAAATTCCCCTACATACAACATGACAAAATACCTAACCAACATACTCAACAACATCACAGATAACACATATAACATAAAAGATTCATTTCATTTCATTAACAAAATTAATAATATTCACATCCCCTCACACTACTCTCTCATATCCCTAGATGTTTCATCATTGTTCACCAACATTCCAATAGACCCAACACTGAACATTATTAAGGATAAATGGCCACACATAACACCATACACAAACACGTTCATAACAATGGTTCGACACTACTGTATTAACGGATATTTCACATATAACAATCATTTTTACAAACAATTATTTGGCATAGCCACCTAGGCCCGATACTTGCAGACATAATTATGACACATCTACTAAACACAGTTATACCACAACTTCCTTTCACATTACCCTTCCTCACCAAATATGTAGATGATATATTGACAGCAGTTTCCACAGATCAAATTCAAACTACATTAGATACATTTAATAGCTTTCACCCACGCCTACAATTTACACATGAAATCGAAAACAACAAAACAATACCATTTTTATATACACTGGTAATAAAACAACCAGATGGCATATTAATCACAGATTGGTATCAAAAACCAAGAAACACAGATCACTACCTCAACTTTACACCTCACCATCCTCTCCATATAATAAACACGGCCAAAGGGCTACTTCACAGAATTATTAGCCTAAGCCAAGAATCATTTCACCACAAGAACATAAAGATATACAAGCAGATCCTCCATAACAATCACTACCCTAAACACATAATCAACAGAATAATCAACCAACTATGTTGGTTTGTCTGTATTTGATAGATTTGATGTAGTATTATTAGTAATAGTGGATGGTGTTAGTCGACACATTTCCATGCCATTCATTCACGGCGTATCACATAAATTAAACACTTCTCTCTCTTCCGATAACTTTAAAATAGCTTTCAAAAACTATAAAACAATTCACACACTTTTTTTCCAAAATACCACACCAGTAACAAATAAATCTGACGTAATTTACAAAATCAGTTGTTTAAATTGTCCGTCAACTTACATTAGTATTACGTCCCAATATCTGGAAAAGAGAGTAAAGCAACATATCTGTGAGTGCAAAAACCCCAAACAAAGCACTGGCTACCCACCATTTTGTACACCAACACAATTTCTACTTCAACAATCCAAAAATATTACACATAGAACAAAACAAACATAAACGTAACTTTTTAGAAATAGTTTACCTCAACGGAGATAAACACAGCATCAATTACAGAACAGGCACATGTAAACTCAATCGAAGCTACGCCAATATCTATAATCAAATTCAATATCGATAACGTAGATAGATCACATCACACAAAACATATAATATAACATAAAATAATCACCACATTCCACACATCAAACATTTCTACATAGTCTAATTTTTCAACAATTTGGCCTTCCTTTCCCTAATTATCCCCATCTATATAATCCTAAAAGGATATTCTGGCCTTTCACCTCAAAGAAGCCGACTCCTCATAGTATAAAATCGTCTTTCTATACAGACTTTCTTCCCCACCTCTTCA